TTCGAACCCGCGACCCTCAGACTGGGAGTCGAGTGCCTTAACCACCTGGCCAAGCCGGGCCACTCTTGTTTGTATAAAGCATATATTTTACATTTAGAAACTGTCGCATGTCTATCCATCGATATGAAGCGCCATCTATTGGGTTGAATTGGGTTTATAATATATCGAAGTACGTGCATGATATGTTTGACATTTATAAAATATCTGTATATATTTATCGGAATATCAAAAGCGTATACCCATAGACTAGTCAAGTAAGGCGGAGAAATCTTGTAGCGATAGTCCGAGCCATCTAGCCCTGCCTACAGATAGGTAGTAAATAGAAAAATGTTGCTGTTTTAGAAATCTTTGGATTGTTATATCGGAAATATTAGCGATGTCTTCTAGCGTATTGTTAGTATGTATGCGCATAATATATCGTAACCGATACTTTAAATGGTTGGTTCTTCCCTTTGGAATACAATAGGGTGGATATTTGACGCGTGAATTATTTGGAAACTTTGTTGATCTCTTTGTACTATTGTACTTAATAATATTTATTATCAGCTTTCTACTTTTCTGAAATTATTTGAAAAACATATAAACCATTGCAACTTTACTAATATCAAATTACTAACCTGTAAAAAATTATAAACACTTTTTCACTGTAAATTAATTTGTCTGTTTTGGCGTTACATACTTTCAGTCGCTGTTCTAGCCACAGTTGTATTGAGTTCAGTGGTGCAAGCGTTAAGCACTTAGGATTTTGAAAAAAGAAAGTGAGTATGTACGAGTATTCATAAAGATCCCCCCTGTAGTTCATCATTAAGCATGAGAACAAACTATGTTAAATTTCAGGGTCCAATAGTCCATTGTGTAATTTTGTGCTTAATTATTAAGTTAATAACAAACGCCGTGTTTCTTTTAAAATATAAAGAAAAACTGTACAAAGTTGTTGTAATGTTCTTTTCCCCCTTTTTTTATAATCTTTATAATTATACAGAAACCGGCGTGATGTATATTATTATTATATACCACAACTGTTTTTTGTTTTACTTTTGCGCAAAGCTACACGAGAGCTATCTGCGCTAGCCGTCCCTAATTTAGCAGTGTAAGACTGAAGTGAAGGTAGCTAGTCATCACCACCCACCACTAACTCTTGGGCTACTCTTTTACTAACGAATAGTCGGATTTACCGTCACATTATAACGCCCCCACGGCTGAAAGGACGAGCATGTTCGGTGACGGGGATTCGAACCCGCGACCCGCAGATTGCAAGTCGAGCGCTCTAACTACCTGGCCATATACCACAACTTATTCTGTGATGTATTCTTGATGCCATAACTTTCTTCAGACTTGTAAAAGATATATATATGTATATATAAATTAAAATTATTTAATGATTTTTAGTCTTGTTTTTTAATTACCACTACCAGTTTTATCTATTATTTAATGCAAAATAATTTTGGATTACAATTTACAGTGGTAATGCAATAAAAGCTTCAAAGTTATTCATATATTTCCTCACGCACATATTTCCCGTTTCAAAATATAATTTTTAATTTTTTACCAATTAGTAACAAGTTAATGCTAAACTTAAATTTTAAACCAATGAGGGACTACAAAAATCCCTCAATTTCCTTAAAAGTAAATGATATTTCATCATAGGGTAAATTACATCTCCTAAGTAAGATTAAGAGATTAAAAATAAGAATCTTATATGTATTGATGCATTTTTTCAATAATAAATAATTGCTATTAAAAGGGCATATTAAACTAAAGAAAATTTTAGTATTGAAGTAAGACAAGTTGCTGAGGTATAAAATAGGATTTATTATTATTATTATTAGTGAATTGTGAAGGAAACAAAGCTTCTGTCTGGGATAAGATTTATCCCTAAATTCTTAAGAATTTGATTAAGGAGATTGAGGGAGTGGAGCTTAAACCAAAATTTCTTAAAAGTTGCAAGATTTGAGAAATTCCTTATTCCAGAAAGATTGGGAATGTGGATCTTGGTTTATGGATAATTTGTAAATTAGACCCTTATGAAATTAACATTATTTGCATATTATTATTAATACTTCACAAAAATAGATAATAGTTATTTTACACACAAGTAATAAGGAGCACAACTAAGCTAATAAAGATTTGTATTAATATGTCTTGAGTTTTGGAAGTTATGGCTTTAATAACCTCTCATTTGTTTCTAATGCCTAAGTTTCTGAATCTGTGTGTGTGTGTATATAGGTGTATATATATATATATATATATTAACAAATAACCATCTTTCTACTGAACTAACATACCCTTTCTTTGACCTCACAGAACCTTAGTCTTTACTAACGTTTGCTCAAGAGAAAATGATAAGTATAAGCTCTAATTTGACAATTGAAGATTCCCAAAATGAGGTATGCTTTTCTTGTTGCATTGTATTAATTGATTTTATATAGCACATTAAAATATTATCATCGTAAATCTACTGGAAATTTTATAATAATGTAGATAACTTGTTTAAACATCTCTATAAGAAAAACATTATCTTATTTTAACTTTCATGTGAATTATTTGTTTGTTTTTTCTGCAATATATGATCATGATTTTAGTTGTATTTACAAAATAAATATAAGATCATTAAATGACAAAAGCTATTTACCTAATTTAGGTCATCATTGAGCTTCAGACCTGTTAAGCCAAAAAACTAAATGTTTGATATTATGAATTTTATTAATATATAAATTCAACGGAAACATTGAAAATTTAAAATTATATGTACTAAGATAATTAACAGTTAAATTCTTGGCATGCCTTTTCAAAGCACATAGGGCCAGTGTTTTTGAATTCCAGTTTCATGTGGCACAAGCAGATGAGAATGGTGACCCATTCCCTTTGGATGGGATGCCAACCCATCACAGATTAACTCCCAGCTAACAGCTGGGTAGTCTGGAATTAGAGCGGTAAAATCTTGCTCAACAACACAATGGCATGACGGTAGGCCAGCCTCAAACTCGCAACCATCCAACTATAAGTCCAAAGTGAGAAGCCACTGTGCCACGCTGCTCCCATATACTGGGATAGTTATCCCAGAAATCTAGTGATCATTTATCAACCTTGTTATTGTTAGAATTTCTACACAATTATATATTGTTTGTTTTACTGTTTTAATACTTTGAGTATTTCTTTGGTCTTACAACATACATATTTTATATTTAAACTAGTATATGAAGCTTCTGTAAAACTAATTTTCTTGTTAATTCTTTTATATTTTAATAAGGTGAAGTTTTTAATGAACTCCCTTTTTCAAGTTACTGTTATAGTTACATTTTTGTGGGAAGAATATTTGAAAATCATGATTCTAAACAAAATTGAAACAACTGCAGTTCACTAATCTGTTCTGTTTTTTTGACATCGTGTAGGAAATGGCCAAAGGGATGACTTCTATGACATATTCCTGTTTTGCAGCCTTTGCCCTTGTATGCTTGCTTTTGCAGTATTTAGCACAACGCACCAAATCTCATATATCCTCAGCAAATAATAAAGATTTTTTACGGTTCCAGAAAAAGTACTTCATGGTTTATTTCTTAGCTTTGTTTGGAGATTGGCTTCAAGGGCCCTACGTCTATAAGCTTTATAGCCACTATGGGTTTATGGAATCCCAGATTGCATTTTTGTATGTGGTGGGGTTTGGTGCTAGCGTTTTGTTTGGAACTGGAACAGGAACTCTTGCTGACCGATTTGGACGGAGGAAGATGTGCATTTGTTTTAGTATCCTGTACTCTCTTTGCTGTTTGACAAAACTCTTTCCAAATTATTATATATTAATGTTTGGACGAATTCTGGGTGGAATTTCAACTTCTTTACTGTTTTCAACATTTGAAGCCTGGTATGTGTATGAACATGTACAGACTTATGATTTTCCTACTGAATGGATCTCGGTAACATTCTCCAAGGCAACCTTCTGGAACAGCATTCTTGCAATCAGTGCTGGTGTTTTGGCTGATATGACTTCTGAATGGCTAGCTTTTGGTCCTGTTTCCCCCTTTGTTGTTGCTATTCCATTTCTCCTCCTGAGTGGGGTACTTGTAGCACAAATGTGGAATGAGAACTTTGGGGACCAATCAGCACAGTCAATAAAAACTTGTATGGAAGGCCTCCACTTGATTTTTTTGAAGAACAAGATTTTGTTATTGGGGGTTGTTCAGTCAATGTTTGAAAGTGTTATGTATATTTTTGTATTTCTCTGGACACCCATTCTTGACCCTGGAAAGCCTCCTCTAGGGATGGTTTTTTCAGTTTTTATGGTTTGTATAATGATTGGTTCATTATCTTACCAGCTGCTGTCTGCCAAATATATGTCTTCTCAGAAAATCCTTACTCTAGCCATGTTCCTCTCCTTTTTTTCTATGTGTCTGTGCATTATCTCAACAAATCCCCAAGAGCCAAAGCTAATGTTTTCTTTCATTGCCTTTTTTTTACTGGAGATTTCTGTGGGATTATACTTTCCATCCATGAGCTATCTTAAAAGTCAAGTGATTCCGGAGTCACATCGTGCCAACATTATGAACTGGTTTCGAGTACCGATGAACGTTATTACTTGTTTTGTGCTTCTTTGGCTGCATGCAGAAGAAAGTAAAGCTGGAAATCAAATCATTTTTGTTATGTGCTCTGTTATGATGTTTATTGGTACACTTACAATGTGGAAGTTAGATGCCTTGTTAAATAAAGAAGAATTTCCAGGAGTTGAGAAAGCTAATTCTGAAGAAGACATTGAATAATTACTTACTTTCAGCTTAATGATTTTAAATGTATTCCCATTCTGGACAATTCAAGCATCTAGTCTGTTTATTACATTGCAGTGTGCTATGATTTCAAACAGTCATTTGATCATATATATATATTGAAATGTTAAATGTTATGGTAGATTCTATCTTTCTTGTTGACCAGTTAAGAGTTTTGAACAAAAGAACTATGAATATAAAGAATAATCTATAAACTACTCCCACATACACAAGTTTTGTTTTGTTCTTTGACAGTGAAGAAATTATAATAATTGTTTACCTTGCATGAATTTCTTACCCCTAAAATATTCTATATGCACTTTTAGTGTGTTTGACATGTGGTATTTTTTATAGTAAACCTATAGTTGAAAAGCTTGTTTTACTGATTTTACAGTGCAAATTTAATATCTGTGATACACATAAATATTGAACAAGTTTATGGTATAGCACAGGAAGTCAAAGGTACATTATATTAATGAAAGTCCATAAAATATATATTTACACCTATTTTAGTAAATACAAAGATTATTTTAAGAGTTGGTTTAATACAGTGGAATATATAGGTTCTGAAAAAAAAGTATTTTTTTATAGTAACCATTTTGATTTGTAGTTTATGCAAATTTTGTTGCAATTAACAAAAGTGTGTTTGTACAAGTTAAAGTGGTTGACATTTGATTTATTTAAAGTTATAGAGATGTTATTTATTAGTTTGTTATTATATAGCTTTAAAGTTACTGTTTAAAGTACACCAGATAGTTTTTAATATTATATGGAAACAATTTTAAATCTGATTTAATTCTATTTCCCTATTACAATTTAGAAAAAAGGTTTTTTTTCTATAATTTCTTTTTACTGAAACTGTTTATGTAAAAAAAAAATGTTTCTTTTTTTTTAGCTACTTTATGCAGCTGACAATATATGTAATTGTATTTGCACATTTCAACTTTAAGTATGTTTCACTTGTTTGTTAATCTTACCTGCTTTGGGTCCAGTAATGGCCTAGTGATTACATGCAATACCGTTAATGTGGCCATCCATGATTTACGCCCTATTGCCACAAAATCACACTCTCTACACCTTAGGGTCATGGGTGTGTTATAAGACTGATGGCCATACATCACTGTTCAATTAAAGTAGTCCAAGAGTTGGACATGAGTGTTGTTGACAAGGTATCATCTCTTTAGACTTATCAGTTCAAAATTAGGAGTGGTTAGCACAGCTAGCTAACCCTTGTGTAGCTTTGTAAAATAACAAAAAAAAAACTATCTCATTTTTGTGTAAAATACAAAAATTTTAATGTTATGTGTCCAATGTATTACAAAAAAATACACATAACTGTTCACGTAAACTAAAAATTAAATTTATGCATTCAATAAAATATTTCAGAATGTTCTTAGCAATAGGATTTTTTTTTTTTTAGTCACAGTAGGCAAATAGTTAAAAATGTCTTAGACAGATAATGCATGTGTTAGAATGTTGAAAATTTCATTTATACATAGAAAATAGACAACCAGTTTCTTTAGAAACTTTATTTTGTTTTGAGTATTCATCTTCATTACATGACTACTGTTTCAAACATGCAAGTTGTTTGGAACATCTTACAGAAACAAAGAATACAATAAATATAATATAATAAAGCATTTGTTTTTATGGCCATTCAGAAATTATAATAATTAAGCTGGATGAAGCTAGGTAAACTTGAACTGATTAAGAAATTTCCTAGTAAACTGTTTTGTCCATGTTAGTGTGTAGTGATATAACAGTTGTATTTCAATTTTATATAATTTGTGGTGATACTTTAGCTGGCGGGCTTTCCTTGAAACAACAACAGAGAAAGATGGTGTTTAATTTTAAGTATTTTTATGTATGCACAAGGGTCAAAAATTTGCAATATTTCTAACCTTTCTATCTCTAAAATTCTAAAAAGTTGAACTGGTCCACTCCAGGAACATTTCTATGTATGTTAATTCAATTTTATCAATGGCAGATGTTAATTTTTTAAAGGACACATTACAAATATGTATGTGTAACATTAAACAAGTCTTTAATTGAAAACATTTTTTTCATTATATTACTCTTGTAATGTGTAAAATTTTTATATTAATCTAGATAGACACAAAAATAATGTGACTTGTGGTTACTATTTCAATACTGAACAAAAGATAAGGTGTTTCTTCATTGAGATGTTAATATTCGTCATACTTCGTTTGGATTGATCCTGCCATTCACATGTTTCAGGAATCTCCGTTTCATTTCAGAGGGATTTTCCGTAATGCTTATACATATAGGCCAGGGATCCCCAGAAAGCTAGAGGCTCCATTTGGGAGTTTGAAGTAAAAAAGATACTTTTGTGAGACAAAAACACAAATATGGTTTTTTAGGAAAAAAATGTTAGAAATGCACGTTTGATGAACAAGGTAAAGTAGGGAAAATGTATTAATTTATAATCAGCCTTGTTGGGCCAATTAATTATCCTTTTTACTATTCTAGTCAGCCCAGCGGTATAGCAATACATTTTGAAATTTTACTTTATTTTTTCAAATCAATAACACTTGTGGTGAAGTCAACTGTTTCACCAATATGTTACATAACATTAGCAGTCATGTATATATATATATATTGGACATTTTTTAGAAGACTGACTATTTTTCTAACCATGCATTTGGGTTTTATGAAAAGGATAAAATATCTAAGTTTTTGAATCACTTGTATTTTAATACCAAGAAAGTATTTATGTTTGACAGATGTCAGGTTAATTCATGTTTAACAGATGTCAAATTATATGTAAAAGTAGTTTCTACAATAAATATATTTAGTGACAAAAACAAAGTGGTTAAAAGCAAGTTGTACTTTTATTTTTTTCTCAACTGGAACTTCTTTTTTTGTGTGTGAAGTGTTAAGTGCTTTATAAAATGTATTATTAGGTTTTACAGTTTCTTGAGCAAAAACAAAGTGTACAAGTGCTGTGTATCACTGGTATGGTGTTGTGATTATTTTATTTAGTCACTGTTTAAAAATAAACTTGTGGATTTGGGCTTTTGTTTTGTTGAATTGTATTTTTTAAAGTTTTTTTTAGAAAAACCATGAATATAAAGATACTGATAGAAAGCGCTACAAATTCTATCAAGTTGGATTTGCTGCAAGTTGGAGTATAGTGAACATAAAGCTGTCATTCTCTAATGGATTTGGTTTTAATATTTAAAACACTGTGTAAACAGTTTTAACGTGACCAAGTATTTGTTAAATGTTTCCATAAATATTGAATATGAAATAGGATTTATCTTGAGAAAGGAACTTGTTTTGTCTAGTATCTCATTTTCCCTTTATTATAATTTGGAATAGTGGAGAGGCATGTTTGAAACCCAAAAACACTTAACCAGTTCTACCCTTAAAATGGATTCCTAAATGGATGGTCAGTTATAACAACAAATAAGAAGTGAGTGTATGGAAAAGAAACTGCTCAATAATATCTAAAACAAATTTCTCCCTTTCTATTTGGTCTTCAGCCAGGATCCCTAATGTCATTAGAGAGGCATTGAGTCAAGATTTGGAAACCCCTGCCTTAAAATGTATAAAATCCTATTCTATTCGTCTGATGTGTACTGCCTTTCTTTATCGGAGTTTCAAATGTGACTATATAATATCAGTTGTGTTTGGCTGCCAAAACATTTCCGATTTTTATTACATTTTGAGTTTAGTAAAACCCCAAAACTTTTTAGTACATAAATCAGTTTCATAATATGGTTAGACGGAACACCTCACAAGCAATTAAAACTACTGTTATGTCTCCGTTAGTTAGTTAATTTTCCGTAAATTCGTTCCGACAAAACTTTAGCGACA